TTTTTTGAATTTCAAAGACAATAGTTAGCAACGTGCGGTCTAATGTGTATAAATAAAAACCGGCAATTGGTTTCTGAGTTATCGTATGTTTAGTAAACAAAAGGTACATAAATGCATACATATAAACGCGCTCACTAACACTCACATACCCAAGCACATGTATTTGATCAGATTTGTACCTAGACTAAGAGAAGGCACTACCTCCTGTAATACAGGTCCCCACCTAACTCAGGAAGCAGAGCCCAATGATTATTGTTTAACTGATTGTATTAATAAAGCGTTTTTATTATTATTTTTTTAAGAATTATAACTTAAATGTTATATGTTGTTGTTTCAGGCACATGATGAAGAATAAACCACATCTTAGATTCTAAGTTTGTTATAGGATTATAGAATTTTATTTTAAAGACTATACCGTGTGAATATAATGAATGCCTTCTAAAGCATAGAATATCTAAGTCAGTTCAAACCATTTAACAATAATTTGGCTACAGTACTTACTATATTTGTACATTGTATCTGTAGATAGCAAAAATAATGCAATTTTACTTCAATATTGTTTGTCTGTGGAATATTTAGACAATACTAAGGTTTGTCATATATTTTAAATTAAATTCATATTAAACTATTGATTTTCTTTTACTAGTTATTTTAAAACTGTAATTACATTTGTAGTACAATTACGTACCATAAAATATGTTTAGCTGTGCAAAAGTTTGGTAAAATGAAATACAAAGTTTATGATAGCTCGCAATCTCGTGAGACTGCGTACGTAGTTTCAGATATCAAGAGATACAGATATCGGGGCACTCGCAGTTTTTCTTCTGGGTAAAAACCCAGTTTATAGTATTCCAGTCCAATGTCCGAATCCAATGCTGTATTACGACAGAAATAAAACAATAGAATACATAATTCACTCTTGTATATAAATTCTTCTAGTTGTAATCTTGTTTGTGTATGTACCGGATTGGGTTGCTGAACTGGAATAAATTAATTGGGCATTTTAGTCGGTGGACAGTAGACCTGACATCCGCGTAGGCACGTGCAGGTTACGAGCCGCACTAAACATTGAATCTTACAGTACAAGTTATATCATGTTCTTATAGATAAATTAGCAAAGACTATATCAGCATTAAAAGTATGATATTTAACTCATCAATCAGAAGGACTTGTTAAAGTATTTTGTGATATATCTAATATCTTAATAAATAGATATAAAACCTATAGAATTATTCATAAATTTGAGATCCAATCGAGAGTCGATTTTCGGAATAACATCGAGGAAATATAACCCCAAAATAGTTGCTAGGCAGCCTTATTTCGCCTCAATTTTGTGCTCAGGATTAGGTATCTATAGATTATATAATCATGACATTTACTTTCACGTTACTAATATTGTATATTTTTTTATTTTCTCAGACATAAAAATTAACACTTATAATTTTAATGTAGCGACACAATGCAACAAAATGTATTAAAACGTGCCTTTTAAAATATGATCTGAAACTGAAGCAATATTGGTCAATAAATCGTTATTGTTATCCGTTATTTGATTTATTAGCATTGAAAAGAAACAGATTCACCCCTTTTAGTATATTTTACTGTAAACTCTATGAAATCTTAATTAAAAGTATTATTTACAGGGGGAAACTAATTAATTTTCATATGAGTAACATTAAATAATCAGAAATAATCATTTTTATGAGGAAAAATCTACTATCTCCATTTTCGTCATATTGGATTCACTATACATAAAACCCCCTACAGCGCGAATTCCTATAACGCGGAAATTGTCTCCAATAACGTGAATATTCAAGTATATTTTTAAATTTCCCCATGTCACGAGATTTAGGGGTCTGTCATTTAAAAACTTGTTATAACATTAATTTCTACAACGCGTTACTATCAACCACGTTGTAGAGAATATTACCGTAAATTATTGGCGTTATATTTGGCATGTTTGGCGTTATTTTTTAAAATACATAAGTTTGGTGCAATACTTTATTTTGTAAAATAATACAGGTAGACTAATTTGTCTTTTGAAGATTAACGTGTGCGCTTCTATTGGTCAAAGTGCCTCGTTTAGATGTGATCGAATGCATAGTGAAACATGAATTTTATATATCGTTAGTGTATTTTTGACATAACATTATTTAAAATACTGTAGTAGACATGCGTTTGTGTATATATAATCGTGAATAAAATAATACAAATTGTAATATTTACCGAATATATATTTATTGAAATTGCATAGCCAAAGTATTTTTAAATGGTGTTGAACGTTCAGAGATCTGTGATCTTTGCAATATGGCAACAATAAACTGTTGAATATTATCCGAGTGTTTCATTTTTCTATTAAAAAGACGGTGAACGTACATTGTAACGTGAGCAACTGTTGTAAAAAGCATAAAATATAAATCAAGGGATACAAGGTCAAAATAAACACACATGAACTTTCAGTTGTCTTTATTTAAAATTTCAAATAATCAATGTAGTGTATAACAATAAATAATTTTGTTTTCTCCCAGAGTAGAGCCATAAGTAGATATAGGATAGTATGCATTTGAAATTAGATGTTTGTATTATAAGTAATTGGTCTGTAGACAAAATAAAACCCTTCGTTTATTTAAACAAATATCACATAGTCGGGTGTGTACTTGTGTGCCCAAATTAACTTTCACTTTAATAAACTCGCTGGCTTAAAATGTAGATTTTATTATGCTCGGGACCGAAATAGATAAATTCTTACTCATTGCATATAGGGCTTCATTTACAATTTTATAAAATGTCACTTATGAAAATATCTTTGATAAAAACAATTTCGCAGCCTAGTTCTGCCCCGGTAAGGAATGATAGGACCAATATTTACCGATCGCAGAGTTCGGCCGCTAACAAGTTTTAATATAAATTATTAAAAAAAAACACGCTTTAGTCTTTGAAATAGGATATCACAACAGATCTTTGATTGTTCTTTTATTAGTAAAAAAAAAAGATTGAATTAGGTAAAAATAGGTAAAAATGGTTAACTAGAACCACAATTTAAATTATTAAAGGTGAATTCAAAAAATGCCTAGTATTTTAAGACAAAGAAGATAATATTTTTTATTTAAAGACAACAAAAATCTGTTACGTATCCTTTACAAGTTTTTTATCTTCGATTAAAACAAACTGAATCAAATAATGACACGCGGTTAAAAATTAAAAACTAAGGTTGTCTAATGAATCGATGAACTAAATAACTATGAGTTTAGCACAATCACTCATAGTGACGCTAAATGGTTCAAGCTCATTCGAGATTATTGCCGTATACTACAAAAACTTGAAGTAAGAACACCTTAAATCTCGAAACAGCTCGACCACACAGGAATGATTCGTGCAAACTAATGAAATGGTTCCATGAAACACTACTCATCTAAGTAAAACATCGCCAGTCGGCTTTATTAAATCCTAATTTGAGAACATAAAAAGATACAAAACTTTTAAAAATAAAATTCGATATTACATATTGCTAGTTAAGATTCGATCTAAACATTGTCTTCTACTTTCCATACAATAATTATAAAATTAATAAAACAGTACATAACTTTGAAATCTTGAAAATATTACTTTGCGTTCCGGGAGTATATGTTTGGTTGACTCGAAGTATAAATAATAATTATTAATAAATAAATTGTATCAATTTGAGATATCCCGATTTTAAAATAACATTTTAATGTAAACAATTTTGGAATATTTTTTTCTAAGGAACATATTTCATATATTTCAGTCAATTTTGTAATAACGCGCTTGAGACATCGTCTAATAAATTTTGGCAATTCATATAATTTTAAATTGATTAGTTCCGTTCACTAACTAATCAAAGACAAGGTTTAACAAAACATTTGAAACTCATTTTTTAAATGCCTAACTTTAATATTTATCTCATATAATAATTAATCAAAAATAACAATTCGCAAAACCTGCATTTCATAGATAAAACAGCAAACCTTTACTATGCAGATAAATAATAACAGCGGTTTATTACGAAAAAAAATGCTATTTAAAGTCGAGCTGAGACTCTCAGTATTCAAATGTTGTTGATGTTGGCACCACTTCCAGCACCATTTGCAGGAAAACCGTTATTTTATCTAAACAAAAAACATTGTTATTAACATTGAAATACGTCACTATTCAAATTAACTTGCTAATACGACATAATATACGATTTATATACTATAGAACTGTTTCAAATACACAAAATATAAATTGTTTATACAACTATTCCTCTGACATTCACTTTCATTCGAATAAATCGCAATGGCTTGGTAAAAGAAGTTGACTTACCCATGAAGGGGAGGGAGTAGGACCACTTGACGAAGGGCACGTACACGAGCAGGCCGGTGAGGATGAAGGCGGTGGCGTACAGGTACTCCCACTGCGGCTTGTTGATCACCGGCCCCACCACCAGGTACGCCGACACCAGCAGCACGATGTACGGGATTATCACTGGCACCTGCATTCCGATACACTTTATATAATACCTA